TGTGAGCATGAGAAAGGGAAGTTTAAAAAAGGAAGAAAAAAGAAACGCCATAATTTGGTAAGAGAAGATCTGAGCCGTTGATTATGAAACCTGTGAAAAAGGAATGTGGACCCCACGACGAGTCACGTTGATGGTGGAAACAGCTGTCTTTTTTCTTTTAGCTTTCAAAAAAAGGAGAGTAACGACATTCAAAATGAATTAATTTTTAACTTTTTTTGGTAACGTAACTGTAAAATCTCCTCTACTACTGCTACTCTGTAAAGTATTTCATTGGCTGGAAATGTTCTTTTTTCAGAGATGGGGACAAATAACAATCATAATTAATCAAATTAATGGGCTGGATTGGTACATTTTCATTCAAGTGATATTTTAACTAACGCTCTAAAAAAAGAAACGTATTCATCAGAAGCAAAGCCAGTATTAACATTTTCAGAATTTTAGTTGAAAATGTTGTTTCACGTTTAACATTGTAAGAAATAGTTTGATATATTGGAATACTATTCATTTTGATTATAATGTTACTAAAATCGGAGATCGGCGATGAATTTTTTTTCATAGATGAAATGTTGTTCATTCTCGACAGGCGGATTAATTATGCGGAATTTGAAACGCATTGTATATAGTGGTTGATCTAAAAAATCACTCCAGTTATATTCGAGTCATCATGAAGCAAAGTCATCTATGCGTTAGAAAAACTGAGGTGATGTTTCGATAAACTAAGCTCTCTTGGTAGATTGAATCAAATTTAAAATTAGTCGGATGATTTAAACAGGATGAGGTTGAATTAGATCTTAATCATATATACTAATCCGGATCACCTCAGTTTTCTTTTGAAATTGCATACAGTTAAGGTAGCAAACATAAATGACAAATCTCTAGGCTATCTTTTAGGCTTCGAATACTACTTCTTGGATTATATGGGCTTCAATTTTCAAAACATAAACCCTCTAGGCTACTTCTTGGATTACATATATGGGCTTCAATTTTCAAAACAGCGCATTAAAGAATAGTTAAACGAATGGTTTAAATGGGCTTCCAAATAGTAGCCCACTAAGGTTAGTGTAAACACAAGAATTTCTTCTCGAGTGTTTTTACTTTGATTTTGCCTCGAGTGTTAGTAGAACTGAATTTTGCTTTCAGGATCAAAACGAAAATGGAGAGATCCATTTCTTTCAATCCTCGATTCGATAACGAGTTCCCGAATGAGCGGAGCAGCGATATCGGATACTCTGCAAATGATCGGAGGCTCGCTTACTCCCGCTCGTTCCAGCAATCTCACGGCCCACGAACACCGGCGGTCACGGAGGCGGCTAAGCCTTATCTCGATAGGACGGTCTCTAGTATCGATATGCCGCCGGAGATATACGCCGTCGACGGGAACGATGTGTTCTCCGGGGAAGGTAAAGCAGCAGCAGCAGGAAAAGTATCTGTTTTGCTGCATATGGTTTGGGAGATTTATGGAGTATTGAGAAATGGAAATCGGCAGATTAAGAGGCTGTTTCTTCTGATTTCGCTTAATGTGGCGTATTCTACCACTGAACTCCTAATTGGGCTTTTAACGGGGCGTGTAGGTATGAATCTGTGAAAGGACTTTTTGTTTGTTTGTTTTCTCTATGCAGTAGTTCGTACATGTCAAAATTAGTTTGTTTAAGTTCCTGGTCCGTGGTCATTTTTTCGTATTTACTAACTGTGTTGCTTCATGGACTCTTACAGGTTTGGTTTCCGATGCATTCCATTTGACATTTGGTTGTGGTCTCTTGACATTTTCTTTATTTGCAATGGCAACTTCAAGGAAGAAGCCTGATCACGCTTACTCATACGGGTAAGATAAAAGTAACTTGATCTGATCCGTTGGTGAATCTATTTGCTGGAGACATAGGTCAAATTGTATGTTTTGTGGTAATTAATGGTTGTGGAATTTGTCAAATTATGGGTTACTAAGGCTCTGTTCCTTAGAAAGTATATTCTTTATTGTTTTAGTAGGAGACAGTTTTGTATGATTGCTGAAGATGAAGCTTGTCTGTATGATATCTTATATTGCTGATGCTGTAACTGCATAATGCTAAATTGGTTGTAATTTTAGCATTTTGTGTTTTCTTCCCAGTTACAAAAGACTTGAAGTTTTAGCTGCTTTCACTAACGCTGTAAGTATGTTCTTAACGTGTTTTTGATGTCTTTTCCAATATTAGTTTGAGGGTATAAAGGCTTTTGGGCCATTTTATAAAACAAGTTTTAATATCGCGCAAAAAAAAAAGTGTTGAGAGCTTAACTCAGTGCTAGCACTTTTTCCTTTGCTTTTGCTGAAAGAATAGAGTAGTTTACAGCTCGCTTTTCAAAACATTTGGACTATACATTATGGGGACCTTTCTTTTCGTTTTGCCTTCATTGTCTCATTCTCTGTAGTTTATCACTAGGGTTAATAGTTTGATATGTTTAATATTTGACATATGTGTAGACAGCTGTTCCTTATGTTCATGTCGTTCTCCTTAGCCGTGGAAGCGCTTCATGCATTTATACAAGATGAATCAGAGCACAAGTAAGTTTGTTTTCACAAATGACATGCCTAGGAGTTTCTAGAGATTTCTCTAGCACTTACTAAGTTTGCAGTAATTGTTCCCTCTTTCTCCTTTTTATTGTGTGACTTATTGATATCTCCTATATGTAGGCATTATTTGATTGTATCAGCGGTAACAAATCTGCTGGTGAACCTAATAGGTGTTTGGTTCTTCCGGCATTATGCTCGTGTCAATATTGGTATGTATTCTCTGATATATATACGTGCTTATGTTCTGGTTAGACTTGCATGAAACGATGCTCATAGTGATGCTTTATGTGGTATAGGGTTGTTTGGCTTTAAAGCCAAAACAAGTAAGGGTTTTTGGTTAAGATAGAACCAGTATTCGTATTAGTTGAAATAGAGAGACAGCATGATGATAGCAACCAATTTGGCCAAGAGAATTCGCTTTGCTTCTTAAAATTATTGTCCCTTCTATACATATTTAAAAACCGCATTTTTCTTGAATTTCTTTCTTACATTCATAGTATGCTGCAGCTTACAGAAAAGCAGAAGATATGAACTACCACTCTGTTTGCTTGCACGTCATAGCAGATTCCATCCGCAGGTGTTAAATCTCTCTGCCTTTCTTTATCTCAAGCAGAGTCGTAGAGAGCTAGATAGAACAAAATGTTTCTTTTTGCATGGAACTTATATACAGCCAACTTGAAGTTTTCTTTGCTCCTGTCTTTTCAGTGCAGGTTTGATACTGGCATCTTGGCTCCTCTCTCTCGGGTAATCCTCACTTCCTTTGAATGAAATGAATAATAAATGTCTTGTTGCTTGACTTTTTATAATTTCCATGTGTCTTGGCTATTTCAGGGTTGAAAATGCAGAGGTCCTATGTTTGGGATTGGTATCAGTTACAGTGTTTATGCTTGTTATGCCACTCTTCAAAGCCACTGGCGGTGTCTTACTTCAGATGGCACCCCCTAACATTCCTTCTTCCGCATTAAACAAATGCTTAAGACAGGTTCAGTCTTCTCCATATATTGTTTCCCGAATGTGTACATATTTCTCATATAGAGAGAGAGATTGATCAAGCAAGGCTTCTCTTCAATTCTCTTTGGTACAGATTACTTCTCGAGAAGATGTCATGGAGGTTTTACAGGCACGTTTCTGGGAGGTTGTGCCTGGTCACACTGTTGGCTCACTCAGACTCCAGGTACATTCTTCCTTCTTGTTATCGTATCGGTTATAACATGAGCACGCACGAGGAATGGAAATGATTTGAATTTATTATTTTGGATATTGTCATTAGGTGAAGAGTGGAATAGATGAAAGGCCTTTACTGCAATATGTGTATGATGTATACCATGATTTGGGTGTACAAGACTTGACCCTGCAAACTGATTACACCTGAGCTGAATCTGCATCTATGTTTTCAAATATTGATTAATGAGGATTTTGGATGTATACTAGAGATTGTTGTTTCTATAGGATAATCTTTCTCGGTTTCAAGTTGTGACTTTGTTGTTGCAATCTTGTCTTGTTTGGTTTCCATTTGTGTCTCTTTTGAACCACACAGGGACCACAAGCTTTGTAACCTCTCAAGTTTTTTTCTTCTTCTTATATAAATCAAATGTCATTTGCAAAATGTGAAAGGTATAGAAGTCAAAAAATGCATAAAGTTACGAGCTGAAACAAGATTTTAGAATTCCTCATTTTTTAATACAAAAACTGGAAATTTGAAGAATCAGATGCCATATTATGCTCCTCTTCTTACAGAACCTAATATTCTAAGTTATGGGTCCAGTAAAAGCATCTTAAAAAGAAATTTCATCGATTACGAAATCACCGTACGTCCATGTCTATGTTATTCTTTGCTTCACATTGATCATTGTGCAATTATCTTATTCCCATATGATCCATTATATAAACCATGATTGCAGTTTTTGGACTTTAATCTAGAAAGTTGTATATAATATGTAATTTTAAGTACATATTTTAATCAAGGCACTACTTGTGGTCTGCTCTTTTTTTTTTTTGTGAATTACTTGTGGTCTGCTCTATACCAACGACAACGACATAAACGTATAAAATAGAATAATAAACAAGAAAACAATGGTCCAAAAGGACACTTTTATTTGAAAAATAATTTAGAACTTAATGTAATTGTTCAGTTGATTCAAATCAAGAGGACCAGAGAATATGGGAATGAATCATCAAACCATTAACTCTAAACATTTTCCCTTAAAAAATTCCCAATTGATAAGAGAGAATCAAAAGTAAAAAGTAGAGAA